TAAGGGACCAAAAATGTGCAACTCACTAAAGTTGAGGGATCAAATTTAACATTTAACCTAGATATTAATACTTAATTTAACCAGGAAAAAAAAAAAGCAGAGTTTGAATTTGAAGTTGAAGGCTCGAAATTGAAGAAAGAGTACTCATATCTATTAAGGCCTGGACTCTAAGCCGTTACTCTTTATGGGCTGGGCTTTTTCCTGACCTTGCAACCAAATCCAAGTATTCAACCCACTTCTTTTCTACTAAACCCAACAGCGGAAACAGGTCCTCACGCCCTTTTTTTTTTTTGAATGATTAGAGTATAGAATATGAAATAGCCTTCCTTTCTACACTAATTCTTAACTTAAAACTTCAACTTTTTTTTTTTTTTTTTATCTTGGTTGCACAATGGAGGCAATCATCTCTTATCCCTTATCTTACCCTATCTGCATGCCATGCAACTCGAATTCATGATGTCTTACTTCTAACGAAAAAAGATGATTACTGAATTATTTAAGTTATTGACAAATTTTAACTTCTTAATCACTAAAAACACTGTTTTAATGCAGTAGGTTATTACGCTGACAAACACATGCAATTGAACAACATGCTATGTGTTGCGTGAGTTTTACTGTGCATGAAAATTAAGCTTTTTAATTGTCTAAAAAGAATGTTTTTTAAAAAAAGAGCTAGTGTGATAATGCTAACACAAACTCCCACTTAGCTTAGCTTACGAATTAGAGAATGTTTGGATTAATTATTTAAATATAATTGATTGTTTATAATTAATATTAATTATTAATTATTATTATAATTAAAAATATTTAAAGTAAACTACATGAATAATCACTCACCTTTATCACAACTTTCGATTTAGTCACTCTCCTATGTTCAATTAGAATTAATAGCTTATAATTGTTTTTGAAACTTCAAAACAAATGCCCTCGTATAATATTGAGGGCTAAATCTTAATGTTTGAATCTAATAATAAATAAATAAAATTTTTTGTTTTATAGTTTAAATTTTGTCATATTATAAAATAAAAATTATTTAATGTGAAAGAAAATCACCAACATCAAGGATTCATCTTTATATAATGTTAAAAATATATTTTTTAAAATAATTCAGACTATATAATATTTTTTTTAAATAAATATAACCTTACAAATTAAGATTAGAATTCAAATTTTAAGCTAATATTTTAAAAAAATTTCTTAAATTTAGTATTCCCATGTGAGCTGCCCTATATAATGAAAAAAAAGGACAAATTCAAATTAAACGCAAATGGTTAAACTCCTAACATGGTCCCTCAACTATTATATAGAC